CTAAAATGAAAGAAAGAAAAAAAGAAAGAAAGAAAGAAAGAAAGAAAGAAAGAAAAAGAAATTTGGAAAATAATAAAATATGGATAAAATGAAAGAAAGAAAGAAAGAAAGAAAAGAAAGAAAGAAAAGCATAAAATGGATAAAATGAAAGAAACAAAGAAAGAAAGAAAGAAAGAAGAGAATAAAGTAAGGATAAAATGAAAGAAAGAAAGAAATTTGGAAAAGAATAAAATAAGGATAAAAAGAAAGAAAGAAAGAAAGAAAGAAATTTAGAAAAGAATAAAATATGGATAAAAAGAAAGAAAGAAATTTAGAAAAGAATAAAATATGGATAAAAAGAAAGAAAGAAAGAAAAAAATTTGGAAAAGAATAAAATAAGGATAAAATGAAAGAAAGAAAGAAAGAAAGAAAGAAAGAAAGAAAGAAAGAAATTTAGTAAAGAATAAAACCAGGATAAAATTAAAGAAAGAAAGAAAGAAAGAAAAAACAAAATAAGGCTAAAAAGAAAAAAAATGTTAAAAAGAATGTTGGAAAAGAATAAAACAGTTAAAATGAGAAAGAAAACAAAAAAGTGACATAATGTTAGAATACAAAAACGAAGAAAGAAAGAAATATGGTTAAAAGAGAAAATTGAAAAAAAAAAGAAAGAAACTTGGAATGGAATAAAATAAGATTAAAAAGAAAAAGAAAGAAAAACAGAAAAGAATAAAATTGTGTTAAGAATAAAAAGAAAAAAGTCAAAAGAATGAATGACATAAAAACAGAGATAATGTTTGAAAAAAAGAAAAATGAAAAGAAAAAGAAAGAGATGTGAAAAAGAATAAAAAAAACATTAAAAGAAAGAAAGAAAATAGGAAAACAATAACAGAATGCTGAAAAACAAAACTGAAATAAAAGAAAGAAATATGGTTAAAAGAGAATAATGAAAAGAAAAAGAAACAAAAATGAAAGAAAGTTGGAATAGAATAAAATGAGGTTAAAAAGAAAAAGAATGAAAACAGAAAAGAATAACAGTATTAAGCAAAAAAAGGAAAAGATAGACAAAAAAATGTAGGGTAGAGCATCGTTCGGGGCGGTTGACCAACCCGATCCCGTTTATACGGGTTCTACGGGCATTTTTTGGCCGAGCCTACGGGCTCGGGAAACCCACGTTAAACTCGGCCTTGTGCCATATGCAACCCCTGCGGGGGTGGGTGGCTAGATACCGAATCAAGCCAAGCTTCTCGGTTTGACGGTCGAACTCTTTGCCTCTGAGCAGAGAGGAACCCGGACGAGGCTCCGCCGAAGGGCAGTCTCGTTCGGAGAGGTTCACCAACCCGAATCTGTTTTTACAGTTTCTACGGGCATTTTTTGGCCGAGCCTACGTGCTCGGAAATCCCACGTAAAACTCGACCTTGTGAAACATCTTTCCCTCGTGCGTTGGGGCAAGTAAATATCGAATCGAGTCGAGCCGTTTCGGCTTGACGGTCAAACTCTTTGCCTCTGAGCAGAGAGAAACCCGGACGAGGCTCCTCCGAAGGGCTGAGTTTCGTTCGGGGAAGTTGACCAACCCGATTCTGTTTGTACAATTTCTCCGGGCATTTTTTGGCCGAGCCTAGGGCTTGGAAAACCCACGTAAAACTCGGCCTTGTGCCACATCTTTCCCTCGTGGGCGGGCAAGTAAATATCGAATCGAGTCGAGCCGTTCGGCTTGACGGTTGAACTCTCGGCCTCTGAGTAGAGAGGAACCCGGACGAAGTTCCGATGAAGGGCAGTGTCTCGTTCGGGCAGGTTGACGAACACGATCCCGTTTATACGGGTTCTATGGGCATTTTTTGGTCGAGCCTACGGGCTCGGGAAACCTACGTAAAACTCGACCTTGTGAAACATCAAGTGGGCGGGCAAGTAAATATCGAATCGAGTCGAGCCGTTTCGGCTTGACGGTCGAACTCTTTGCCTTTGAGCAGATAAGAACCTGGACGAGGCTCCGCCGAAGGGCAGAGTCTAGTTCGGGGAAGTTGACCAACCCGATCCTGTTTTTACAGTTTCTACGGGCATTTTTTGGCCGAGCCTATGGGCTCGGAAAACCCATGTAAAACTCGGCCTTGTGCCACAACTTTCCCTCGGAAGTGGGGGGGGGCAGTAAATATCGAATCGAGTCAGGCCGATAGTAGTTCACTCCAAACCAGACTGACAGTCATACTAACACCTTCCACCTCTAGTATTATTATTTCGTGTAATATACCTTCGTTATTTCTACTCTTGTGTTCGTGTTGTTCTTCCTTGGTCCTAACCTGTAAATTTAAACTTGTCTTCAATGGAGGTTCAATGTATCTTTATTTATAATAGCGTATATGTTAGGCTACTTTTTCTCAAACTTTTTTTTTTACTTCATGGCGTACTTGTAACTAAAACTTTGGGATGCACTTTAAATTTTAATAGAAATTTGTATTTCATATGGAATAAATAATTCATTCTTTTTATGTGGATTTGTGCAGGTTGATATATTGTTTTTTTTAGAAAATCAACATTGCTCTCTGTTCTTCAGCTGTGATTAGACATAAATACTGATGTAATGAATATGCATACACCTGGGTTCCCCCTCACAGTAATATGATTGGCTGGTAAATAAATAAATACAGACTGATGTGGAGGTACATGGACTACGCCTATTGACAACGCCTATTGCCTACGACCACGACGAGGACCGGTCCATTACGGTTACCTGCTAGATTGTCCTACCGGGTTACGGTAGCCAAAAACCACTTAGCTACTTCGAACAAATATATCCCTTTCCGGGACATACCAAATACTGAAACCAAAAAGGCAGATGCATTGCTTTCACTAAGTTTTGAACATTTAGTTTCAAAGATCGTCTGAAAAATGGACAGAAATATTTAATTTCCGCAGCTTTTTGCCTACAAACTGACTTCAAAATTTTACTATTTCATGACTACATTCAAATGAAGTTGATATTTTTTGTAGTGGATACATTGAATCCAGAATTCTAATTATGAATCACCACAAGCAAAAAATTCAACTGTATTCGATAAGTAAAAATTGTGTAAAAAATTATAAAAGATTACAAAAAAGGCTAATCACTAAGTAAAATGTTTTAGATCATTTGTTAAATCATAATTAATAAAAACAAAAAATAGATAAAAGTGTATATAACACCATAATACTACTGGGCACAAATTATAAGACAAACTGTTTTAAATTTGCATTGTTTATTGAAAATCGCCCTAAAACTATCTGATCTGTAAATATTATACATCATAATATGGTTAAATTGTTGAGTATAATTTCCCTTCGTAGTAAATAAAGGTCTTACTTGATGGCACAATGATTTAGTAATAATGTGCGTGTGCCTTACGTGTTGTTCATATACAGTTTGTAAATCTTCAGTAAATTATAAATTTTATAAGGCTTTCACTAATTACCGGAATGAAAATCCAACGCTACGATTTTGAACCTTAAATGTTAAACTCATTTCCTCAAAAACTGTAACTATTTCGAAAAACATATTTGGTGTCATTATTTACTTCTGTCAAACACCAACTTTCAAATTGAGTGCAATACTATGCTTCCAAAATCGACCTGCCCTAGCGATCATCTGCATGTTCTTCAAACTGAATGTTCCAGTATTATAAAATACTGAAAAAAATGTTATCTATATTTGGGATTTCGCAGATTAGGGAAGAAACCTAGGAATACTTCAATTAGTATTTATTTAAAAAGCATTCGATATTTCACTGTAGTCGCTGAAGAATTTGGATATATTTTTATTTCTTAAAAAAGGAATATATAATAATTTCTCCCACGTTTCAAAGTTCTGATTTATGAATGAGATTTAATCTTTAACTTTACGAGATCGTAAGTTTTTATCAATTGTTAAAAGAATAAAAAAAAATACTTCATAAATTACTATTCTGTTAAGTTGGGGCGCACCTGGCTATCATTCAGATCGCATTAATACGCACCGGCTGAGAAACGCTATGTTAGCTTGATAAGCCAGTCTAATAACGACATTATGTTTGTTTATTTTTTTCATTCTTTTGCGGCTATTTGATGGGTTCTTTGATAGTATACAGTTGTATTTGTGATGCGAGGCGCATTATTTTTTTTAAGTCTTCCGGCCTTTTAGGAGATTTTTTAAATTTTGATGGATGTTACTTAGTTTTTCAACTTCAATGTATAGCAGTAGTAGTAGTATGAACATCAGTTTATCTCGCGAGATAATGATAGAGCACTGTTTGGTCAAAATTCAGTCTTTTCGAGAGGGGCGTCTGGATTAGCGTACCAATTCAATCTTTGTATGTCACTCTCTTCTGCAGGTGTGGCAGACAAAGCTGGAATGTGGAATAAATGTCTGAGATTGCTCTCTCTGCTTCCGTCAGAATGCTGACGATCCGCTAAGGTAAAACCGTAATAGGTTTGTCTGGCTCTCTAGATTTAACTAGGTCTGCTCTACTCATTGTATTGAGCACTTTATTTAGTTATTTTGCGTACGCGTATCGGTTTTTTTTCTTTTGGGCTTTGGACTTGCATGCTAGACGATTATTTACCAATAATCATAAGTATATAACATGCAGGGACATTTGGGGAGGAGGACAAAGTGCTCCTTATATGACAGGACATTTTTATTTTTCTTAATCAATTTCACCCCAGGCAAAGCAGTAAAACCACTAAGACACAAGTTGTTACAGAGTATCGAAAAATTACGAACAGAAACGTTACTAATATATTAGATGTCGATTACATTTGAATTTTTGCATATGGGCTGGAAAACAAGGAACTGGGAGGTTGTTCGACCAGCGAGAAGTGCCAGAAAAGAAACTGTTAGCATAAATTTACGGCTACATCTAGCTAAATCAACTGTAAATTGATGAGATCTCAAAGCCAGGCTAGTACTGCGCTTGAATTTTAAAAAATCTAGGTACCATAGCGAAGGGCACATCCGAACAATTACCATGAGATTCTTTATAGAAAAGACACAGGGAGGCAACCGCCGGGTGTTG